ACCCAGCCTGCCCCACCCTCACAGGGCGTCCAGTCTGGGGGAAGAGATGGGCAGTGAACCCATAAACAAGTAAATGTAAAAGAAAGACTCAGCAGGGGATGAGCTGAAACAGCTGATTAGAGGGAGGTGTGGGAGGGACTTCACTGAGGAGGTAACATCAGATGAAAAAATTAATCAGGGGCAGAGCCAGACAGTCAACACTCTAGGAAAGGAACAGTCCAAGCAGAAGGCACAGCCGTGCAAACGCCCTGAGGTTCGCACTGTAACAGTAACTGCCTGGAGCCCAGCATGGCCGGAGGAGAGAGTGGAGGGAGAGGTAGAGTGGAGGGGCCAGGGTCTGGGCCACACGGGCCTCCTGGCTTAGTGAACAAAGCCCTCAAAAGGGCAGGTAACGTGATCAGACTTTGTTTTTCTCTGAAAGTGTACATGCGTGCGCGCGCACACACACACACACACACACACTGCTTTTCCCCTCTACTGGGGACAACCTCCCTTCTCCCCAGATTCTACCCATCCCTCAAAGCCCAATTCAGCTGCCCCCTTCTATATGCAGCCTCCATTCATCACCTGGTTGGAAGCGACCCCCTCTCTCACCTCCACGTGACCACAATCAACACAGTTGGTACTCTTACTGTCTGGTGTCATTCATTCCAATTTATAAGGTGTCCACTCTAGACCTAGCCCTGGACTGGGCACTGAGGCTTCAAGAATTAATTCACTAGACAAACAGTAGTAAAAAAAAAAAAAAAAAAAAACCTACCCTTGGGGTGTCTCAGTCTTGAAGGAAGGGAGGGAGAAAGATGGATCCCTTAGGACTTTTCAGTTCCAAGAAGCCCAACGCAAACCGGCTTAACCCAAACATCAAGGGGCAGGGTGGGCTTCAGGCACAGCATGATCCAGGACATCAAGAAACAACCTCAAGAAACTTATCTCTCTCCATCTCTCTGGTAGGCTCAGTCATTGTGGTAACAAACGGCCCTCAGTAACCCCAGTGGGCAGGGCATGTCTCTCCCCTAATAAATTCCACCAAGTCAGGGGGGAGGCTGCGGTCGTGCTGCTCAACTTCCCCTGAGCCACATAGGCTGATGTTAAACCAAACCAGGGCTCTGTTAGGAGGGAGGAAGAGGGTGTCAGGTGCAGGGTGCTGGGGAGGATCCTCCCAAGTCCACACACATCCCAAGCTGAAAGAGCAGTGGTCACAAAGGCCAGAATGTTGGGCCATTGGGGTTACCTCTGCAAAAAGTGAGGAAGGTGAGAAAGGAGTCCTTGTAGCTCCAGACCAAAAGCTGGGAGGGAAGCAGCAGGGAGGGGACTGCCAGGTCAGCAAGGAGGGCAAGCAGGGGGAATTAGGTAGTGTCCAAGGGCAACAGGGAGTCATGGGGGGATCTGAGGAGGGGAGGGGCATGGCCAGACCCTATGTGGGGGTGGACTTGGCAGGGTGACACTGAGGCTGGGGGAATGGGGAGGAGGCTAGTTTTGAGGTTCAGGCAGGAGTCAGGGAGACACCCAAGCAAAAGAAATTCCCGAACACCTGTTCTGTGCCAGGTCCCATGGGATACCCTGAAGAGCTGCCCTGTGGAGCTTATAAGATTACGTCAAAGGAGGCCAACATTATTAATCAGTTGTAAGTGTAGTGAGAGCAAGGAAGGTGGGCAGGAAGCAGAACGGGTGTCACAAGGGTCGCTGGGCCAGTTTGAGGGGCCAGGCTGGTACGTCTTTGCTGAGAAGAAGCCATTAGAATTGAGAACTTGAGTGTGAGGGGCAGAGCGAGGCTGGGAGGGTGCTGCTGGCAAAGGGAAATGCAAGTGCAAAGACCCTAGGGCAGGATGGAACCCCATGGGACAGGGGCACGGTGAGCAAGGGGCAGCGTCTATGGAGATGTGATTATGCGGGGCTAGATCGTGGCGAGGTCTTCTCAGCACATTTCAATGTTTGAGCTTCCTCAAGGCAACAGTAAACCCTGGAAGAGGGAGATGCTTGAGATCAGATTTGCGTCTACCAACAGCTCCCAGCTGCTGCGTGGACAACTCACTAGAGTTTGGCTGGAGGGGTACACGGCATCCTGAGAAGAGGCTGGGGCTGAGGTTGGTGGTGGCCGCAGGGATAAAGAGAAATGTATGGGCTGGGGGCCAAAGGGACATGTTGGCTGGTGGGATACGGAGGGGGAGAGAGACGAAGAAGAGTCAAGATGGCAGCACCCAGGTTTCCGAAGCCATGGAGACGAGGAGGCAAGGGAGGGGCAGGAACAGGGCAGAGGACAGAATGGATGGGGCCCCTCTAAGGCCAGGCATACACCAGTTCTGACGAAAAGCCCAGTTCCTCAGCGGCACCTAGCCCATCACAAGTGCTCCTAATCACAGGGGCAGAGAGAGCATTTCTCCTGGGCAGTGCTGGCCTGCCTTTGTCACGGTCTTCACTGGCTCTGTTTCCTGGGTGGGTTTCCAAGGGGCTGCCTAACGTCTCCTCTGTTGAACTTTGCTTCTCCTGTATTCCACAGGGCCACTCGATGGGAACATTTAGGAGAGTTTTACTAAAGGGACTACTTTCACAGAGATGGGGCAATCGTGGTTTAGTAGTAGAATTCTCACCTCCCATGCCGGAAACTCAGGTTTAATTACTGGCCAGTGCACCTCATGCACAGCCACCCCCTGTCTGTCCATGGAAGCTTGAGTTTGCTATGGTGCTGAACAGGTTTCAGCAGAGCTTCCAGATTAAGACAGAGTAGGAAGAAAGGCCTGGTGATCAACTTCCAAAAATCAGCCAATGAAAACCCTATGGGTCACAAGGCTCCAATCCCCAAGTGATCATTGAGGTGGTGCAGGACTATGACCACGTTCATTGTGCATGGGGTCGCCATGAGTCAGGGACCAGCTCTACGGCAGCTAACAACAGTATTAAAAGAGACAGAAGGCAGAATAGAGGTTACCAGAGGCTGGGGGGAGGGGATAGTGGCAAGTTACTGTTTAACGGGTAGAGTTTCTGTTTGGGGTGATAGAAAGATCTGGAAATAGATAGAGGTGGTGGCTGCACAGCATTGTGAATGTATTTAACACCACTGAATTGTACACTCAAAAATGGTTAAAATGATAAATTTTACATTATATATATTTTACCACAAAACACTAAATTAAATTAAAAGAGGTACAGCTACTGTGGAAAACAGTTTGTCGGTTCCTTGAAAAGTTGAACAGAGAAGGACTATATGACCCAGCCATCCCAATCCTAGGTATCTACCCAGAAGACGTGAAGGCAGGAATGTAAAGAGAAACCTGTACACCCATGTTTATTGCAGCACTTTTCACAATAGCCAAAAGGTGGACACAACTGAAATGCCCATCAACAGAGGAATGGATAAACACAATGTGGTATACACACATAACGGTATATTATACGGCCGTAAGGAGAAATGAAGTCCTGACACATGCCACAACATGGGTGGACCTAGAAAACATCATGCTGAATGAGCTAAGTCAGCCGAGAAAGGACAAATACTGTATGATCTCACTTATATGAAACAAGGAAATAAATAGAAACCCAGGGCTGTTAGTGGATACCAGGGATGGAAGGGAGGGAGAAAGGGAAAGTTTTCGTTTAGTGGGGAGTGAGTTTATGTTAACGGTGGTGGAATGAGTTGGTAAAGGATATCAAGAACGGGTGCACAACTTGAAGAATGTAATCAATGTCACTGAATTGTACATGTAGAAATTGTTGAGATGGCATAGGTTTTGTTATGTATATTTTCATCACAATAAAAAAAGAAACCCAGATATTAAAAATATGTATATTTAATTAAAAGAAATGACTTTCCTAAAGGTGTGGATGAGTTTGGGTCACCGCAGTCACCCCATCCAGGCTGGAGGTTCAGAGGTGGAGCCACAGCTGTTGGGTCAGGGTGTAGAGAGGGGGTGGGGAGAGAAACACCCCCCCTTTCCATCCCCTTCTGGTGGCAGCAGGTGGGGAGGATGGCAGGGTGGATACCTAGCCCTGCTGGCTCCCTCTAACTCACCCCCTCCCCCATCACCCACAGGCCTCCATCAGTCTGGAGCCCTCAGAACCCCGCCCCCAGTCCCTGTAAGTTGGGACCATCATGCCCCTCACCCCAAACTCTCCCCAGGATATGAGGCCTGTGACAGCCAGGAACCTCTGGTGGCTAGCAACAGAGACCAACTCTGGTCAACTTCAGCTAAAAGGGGAAGCATGACAGGAGGGACACCAGGACAGGGAGAGAACCCATCTGCAGTGCTGGGACACTCAGTGGAAGATCTGACATGGGGACACTGAGTTCCAGTTAGGGGCATGAGCCCCTTTTCCAGAGACACCCCTATGTTGAAAGTATGACGTGGCTTGGCAGCAGAGGGGTGTCCTCCCAAAAAGCAGTTGGTCGATACCCCTTGTGCTAGCAGGCAGTTACAGAGGCTTCCTCCATCTCAGAGGGAATCCAGCGGGGCAGAGGCCATGGCCATATTCAGACCACTCCCCTAAGGGCAGCCAGACCGACAGACAGAAGGAGGCTCAGTTCCAGACGTCTTTTATATACACTGTTTATTCCTCCCTAGCCCCATGCAGCAGCCCCAGCCGCCCCCTCTGATGCAGGCTGGGGTCGGAAGAGGCCAGGCAGGAAAACAGGGGGAAGCCCCCAGCTGGAGGCGGCTCCCTGCAGCCTCAGCGCCCCCGAGAGGGGAGGGAGAAGGAAGGAGGAGGTGACACAGGACTGGGTTCAAATACTCCGGAAGCCACACGGTAGAAGACAAAGAGTAGCACGCAGGGGAGGGGGGGAGGGGGAGAGAGGGCATGAGCAGCCAAGGTCAGATCCTGCCCCCCAAACAGAGTGTCCCATCCCTCAGGGCCCAGAGGGAGGGGCAGGACTGGGAGAGAAGAAGGATTTGGGGTGGAAGAGACCAAGGAGGGCCCCACCCCTGGCCTCAGTCTCCAGATTCAAGCAAGTCCCGCCCAAGAAGCCCCCAACCCTAACTGTGGTCGGCCAGGCTCAGGGACGGGGACTACAGCTGGGTGAGATCCAACTTCAGCTGGTAAGGTGGTGGGCTGTCCTCGCAGGGGTGCGACTGGGGCGGATATAGGGGCCAGTCTGGCTCCACCATGAAACCCTTGTGCTGCTCCAGGGTCAGGGGCTGCATAGGGGGCAGGGAGGGAGGGCCTGCTGAGACTCCCTGCCGTGGCCAGGCTCCTTCCCGCCCCAACCTCACGTCACTTCACTTCGATTGAGGGTGGGCTTCTCATCCTGCCCAGTGTCGCATGATAACTCAGGGGTCTCTCTACCTCGGTTGGAAAGGGAGCGGCCAAAGCCAGGGTGAAGGAGCGGCCCTCCACACGACTCCCGCCCCTCTATGCCAGCCCCTTCCCCAGTTGGCCCCACTCTCTACAAGGCTCCGCCCACACCCTACCTCCGTGTGGCCTGCCCACCTGGAACTTGAGGTGCTGGCCCGGCGCGGTGACCAGGGTGGAACAGCTCAGCCACAGCATCACCAGCACAGAGAGAAAAAGGCAGCAAGCCAGGATCCATCGAGGCAGCCCCGAACGCCTGCCCCGGGTGGCAGGCACCGCTCAAAGGCCAGGTTGGGGTCAGGGAGGAGCCCCCCTCCTCCAGTCCCCGCCCCAGCCTTTCCCCAGGGTCCTGACACCCACCGGGACATGCAGCTGAGGAAGTCATTGTCCTGGATCTCTTCAGACTCCACCTTGGCCTTGCTGCTGGTCTTGACTCGGATCTTGGCCTTCCTCACCTTGTCCAAGGGGCCTACAGGGTCTGAGGGACAGCAACCACTGCTCAGCGGCTTCCAGGCCTTCCCTAGGAGGCTTAAACAGCCATGCAGAGGAGAAAGTAGGCCAGGACTAGGGGAATGGAGCATGGAGTCCTGGGAATGGAGGTCAGAACCCTGGGAGGTGGGCTACGGGACCTTGGGGGATGGACTACATAACCCTGGGAGATGGACCAGGAACTCTGGTAGGAGGGCTATGGGACCCCAGGAGTTGAGAGATGGACTGTGGAACGCTGGAAGATGAACCACAAAACTCTGTGAGGTAGATTGCATAACCCCAGGAGTTGAGAGATGGAGACCTCAATCCTAACATGTTCATTTGCCAGGAGGGCTCGTGGGGCAGTAGGAGTCCATGGGAGAAACCCTGGTGAGGCCAGACCTTACCCACATGCACCTCCAGGGCCTCAGGGTGGGATCCTCGCCAGGTCACCTCCACTCGCTGCAGACGCAACCCCTCGGGCCTGGGGCTCTCCACCACAGGCTGCGTCTAGTCCAGAGACAAGAGAGCAGGAGGCCCATGAGAAAGGCACCACCTTGGCCCTGGCAGGCACCCCAGTGAGCCCCATGGGGGCCACAAAGTCCCACACTAGCTGGCACCTAGCTCTGCTGGGGGTAAAGAGGACGCTGGCCTGGGCTGCGATGTCAGGGATGTTTTTCCCCTGCTACTGTGGGCACCTTAGTTTTCTTTGACCTCATTCTCCAGTTCCAGAAGTAGCCAAGCCAACAGCACTTCAGGGATGGGCTGAGAGGTGGCCACAAAACCGACCAGGGCCAATCAGAATAAACCTAGCCTAGTTGGCAAACCCAGAGGGGTGTCATCTGGTGCCTTGAGCATCCAACCTGCCCTCAGGAGGGGAGTGCCTGCCTGGGAATGATTGCCACCACAAGGGAAAGTAGGGCCCAGGGGAGGAGTGGACCCTGAGCCTCTGGGTCCAGCTGTGCCTGAAGGTAGATCACCCATGGATTTTGTATTCCATGAGCCAAGAACCAATGCATCGCCCCTTCTTACCTGGACAAGCCACCCCCTGCTCTGGGGTGTCCCCTCCAGACCCCTTACCTGGAACACCACCACCTTCCCGTTGTCTGTCTGCAGGTAGTATGTCCATGTGGAGGACACAAAGCCCTGGGCTGAGCTGATGAAGTCATTGCAGAGGGTGGAGAACAGCTCCAGGAGCGAGAGGACTCCACTTGGAGCTTCCAGGACTTTTCTCTGGCGATGGGAAGGCCCAAAGCACAGAAATGTCACCAAGGTAGGACATTAACCAATCATCAAGGGGACCGTAAAAAAGGGGAACTGGGAAAATTCATGGTAATTGGGTTTGCTTAAGTGATTTGGGGCAACAGAGCGTCATACAATGGACACAGACTTTGGCACTGCATTTGGCTTGCTGTTTGTTCTTGAAGAAGTGGATTGCCCTCTCTGAGTCCTAAAATGAGGATGATTCTCTCTCCTCATGGGGCCACTATGAGATTGCAACCAGGCAGCGTCTGCCAAGAGCCTGGCACAACACAAGCACCTAATGCATAGTAGCTGCTGTTATTAAACTTATGACACCATCGTCAGTCTTATTTCTACCATGTCTAGGGGAATAGGGAGAGGAGACAGCGATGGAGCTTTTCTGAACAGAGAAACAGCCTAGAGGCAACGGAGAACATTGGTGGAAAAGGAGAAAGGACTTTCTGGGCAGTCCCAGCTTCGTAGGTCTTTGCCTGGGCTGAATGATTTTCTGAGCCTCAGTTTGCTCGTCTGTAAAAAGGGGATGCTGTCCCCGGATGCATCCTAGACTCACACATAGATGACAACAGGTGAGCAGTTATTGTTTCTCTCTAGGGGTAAAGGAGGGGTACTTGGGAAGCAGCTCCTATTGGTACTTCAATAGTCCCAGTTCCTAGCCCCCCCAGATGATAGCGGCCACCAGTCATTAGGAAGTCACATAGAGTCAGTATGACAATAGAGGGAACATGGTTAGTCCAGCACCTGGTACACAGCAGGTACTCAATAAAATCAGCTCTGGCGGTGCTGAAGATAGGGAGCCAAGGGTTGAGTGCCAGCCCAACATCCATGGGTTCAAGTCCTACCTCTGCACAGCCCCAACCTTGTGACCCTGGGCAGCTGCTCCCTGAGCACTAGAAACACTGAAACTAACCCCGGCACTGTGACTCGAGAAATTCGGGACAGGCTCCGCTCAGGCCTTGATAAACCATTTACTTCTGGCAGGGTGGCAGGAGGGGTGGTGGCAGGGGCTCTCCCCATGTCATAGAGGTGACACTTGAGGCTGGAGCAGTGGCACCACTCAATGGGGATCACCTAGCAGGCTGGGAGACTCTGGACAGATGGGGAGTGGGGCAGGAGAGGGGCTGGGGCAGAGGGGGGTGAGTGAATGGAAGCACCCACCTTCTGCTCCAGCTCAGGATCGGAGTCCGCCTCCAGCTCCAGGGGCTGGCTCCAGCACCCCTCGCTGCAGGCCTGTTGCTCTGACTCCTTCACATAAGCCTCCACGCAGGCTGCGGGAGGGAGGGGCGGTTGGGGCAGGCGGACCCCCCAGGTCCTCTCTCCCCTCCCCCACCTGCCCAGCCCTCACCTGCTTCACACTCGGCCTGGGTGGCGTTGGGCTTGGAGCTCTTGGCCACGAAGCGGCAGATAGAAAAGAGGCGGCAGCCCCTCTCGCAGGCGCTGACCAGGACTGCCCTGTCATAAGGCGACTCGGTGGGGCCAGGGGGCCCCGCCTGGAGGGGACACGGGGCTCAGGCCAGGGGGAGGGGCGGAGTATGGGGGGGGAGCAGAGCACTGGTGGGGAGAGGGAGAGGAAGGAGGTTCCCCACCCCGGAAAATCTGGGATGAGCTTGCGGGGAGGCGGAAGGATATGAGTGCAGGAGGGATGTGAGGAACTTGAGAACCCGACTAGAGAAGCTGGCTAGACAACCGCGGACTTAGGGTTTGGGGGGATTGAGAGAAATGGGCCCTGTAAGGTCCACGAAGGAGGGGGATTGAGATGGATTCTGGGGGTGCTCAGGGGAGGCAGTCTTGTCACCTTTTGGGCCTGGGTAAATTGGGATCCGACGGGAGAGTGGTGAGGATATGTATGGGGTTAGTAGCTGGGGGTGACACAAGAGGGAAGTGGATGCAGCTGGGGCCGAGGAAGAGAAGAGAGGTGGGGGTGGGCCGCCCAGAGGGTCCTTGAGCTGCAGAGCTCGGCTGGGCGGCGGGGGAGGTGACATCGGGGGAAGTGGCAGCGGAAGCCTCAGTCTCTGCCTCATCCCCTCTGCCAGAGGGACCCTCATCCTGCTCCCAAAGAAGGGACTCGTATCCTCTGCCCCTCCCTCATCGGAGGGACCCCTGCGGGAGGAACACTTCCGACCCCATTGGAGGGACCCTCCATCTCTGGCCCCTCCCTCATCGGAGGGACCCCTCGACCCCTGGTTTGCCCCCATCTGAGGGACTTCATCCCCTACACCCCCATCGGAGGGACCACCATCCACAACTCTCGACCCCATCGGAGGGATCCCCGATCCCCGCATTCGCCCCCACTGGGGGACCCCACCCCTGATCCCTTCCTCGCCGGAGAGACCCCCGTCCTCTCCGCCCCTCGGAGGGACCCGGGTCCCCGGGCCGGCGCCGCACGCACTTCACCTGCGAGGGCCGCGAGCCGGGGTCGCGGTCGCGGCACTGCAGCTGGCAGCTCTGCGTGTCCCCGAGCTGCGGGGCAAAGGGGTCGCGGGCGGGCGGCGCGGGGGCGGTGGGCCGTGGCAGCAGTAGCAGCAGCAGCAGCGGCAGCAGCGCGGTGGTCGTCATGGCCGCGGGCGCGGGGTCCGGGGCGCGGCGCCGAGGATGCGGCGGCGGCGGGGACCGGGAGCTGACGTCACTGAGCGAGGCAGCCTGGGAAGGGGGGGTGGAGGATGCGGAGAATGGCCAGGAAGCGCTCTGCGACACCCGCGGGGTGCGGGCTGGTGGGGCGTGTGACCTCGGGCAGGTGGATCTAGATCACGCCCCTCCCCCCGTTTGTCCCATCTGGGAGTCCCATGACACCCCCTGCTAGGTGGAAAGGAAGCAAATAGGGTGATAGGGTGGGGTGGCCCCATTGATTAGAAGAGGTCAGGGGGGCCAGGCGGAGGCGACGTTTGAGCGTCCACGCGGACACTGAAGGGAAAAGCAACCAGGCAGAGGGAATAGAGCGTGCAAGAACCCTGAGGCAGAAAAGAGCTTGTCAGAGGAAGGAAGGAGGGACTGGAGCCAGTTAGAGAGAAGAGCGGAGGGAGATAGGGGCAGCAGAATGGGGCCAGGGGCGGTCTCTGGAAGGTACGCGGCATCTTCTCATGGACTCTTAGCTCAGAGAGGCGGCAAAGTGTGTGCAGTCCGCCTCCTCCAGGAAGCCCTCCCAGCCCCTCTGCGGGTGTCGGCCGCGGCTTGTTGGAGGGGACATCTCCCAGCCCGGGGCGGGGGGTAGGTGAAGGGTGTACACAGAGGCGAGGGTGGCTGCCAAATGTCCTAACTCTCGGGGAAAACTTGGGGCGAACAGGGACACTTCTGGCTTCCAGAATTGTCGCACCCCATTGTGACTGCCCGCCGAACCCTGGGTTATGTCGGTGGCCCCCGCTTCATCTCCGTCAGGCATGGGAATGAGGACACCCCTCTAAAGTCGGGTCCTCTGCAAAGAGGCCCCCACCTGTCCCTAACGTGCCTGGCGCAGGTGTCTGCGGAGGCCGTGCCACGCCCCCGCCAGCGCGTCCTGGAATACGCTCCGCCCCTGCAGACTCCGCGGCAGCCAAGAGGGGTCGGCGGGTCAGAGGGCGCCTCAGGTTCCGGCCGCGGAGGAGGGCACCCTGGGGGTTGGCGCGCCCCCTCTCCGGGCGGGCCGCAGCGCTTTCATCTCTGCGGCTTGTGCCGGCCCCCACGTCGCTTAATCAGGCGCGGCTGTTCCTGATGGACCCCAAACATCTGGATGCCGGCGCAGCCCCTCCCCCGCCCCGCCTCGCCCCTCCCGGGCGGAGGCCGCCGCGACCCCGCAGCCAGGGCCTCCTGGCATCTGTTCGCGGGAGGACCGGGCAAGCTCGCATCCAGCCCACCGTGCGCCAGGCCCTCGCCTTTGGAAATGGTCCTGTGTGTTAAGACCGATACTGTCCCCCATTTCACAGGTGGGAAGCTGGGGCCCCGGTACCCCTCGCATAGCTAGGATTTAAGCCCACACAAGTATGTCCATTCCAGAGCTCGCACGCTTGAGCCCTCCTCGAGAATGACTGTCATTGATTCATTCATTCCAAACAAAGCATTTTCCAGCTTTTTTTTTTTTTTTTTTTTTTTTTAACAACATCTCTGTAAGGTAGCTACCGGGAGCGTTGCCCAGTTTACAGGCGAGGTAACTGAGATTCAAAGAGGTGAAGTAGGCCAGCCCAGGTGGCAAGAAAGCAAGAGAAGCAAAGAGGCCAGAAGAGCCCCGCAAGGGGCGTCTAACATAAGAAGCGTCGTAGAAAGCTCAACAGCAGAAAGGGACACCCATGACCTTTTGCAGAAGGGGAAACTGAGGGTTGGGCTGCTGGCCCACGTCGTCCAAAAGAGGAAGAAGAGGGTTTGATTGCCGCCCCCACCCTTTTCCGCTCCACGAGGCCGCTAGGGGCGGCAAGCGGAAGAAGGACTTGACCCCGGCCCCCCAGGTGAGCCCCCGCGCCCCTCCTGCTGTTCCCGGGGGAGAGGGTCCAGGTGAGGGGCGGGCGGGCCGCCGGGCGGCCGGGGTCGGGTTTCAGGAAATCCGCCGACATTCCTTCGGGGCTTAAGAGGGAAAGTTGACTCGGCACCGCCCCTCTCCCCACTACTTCCTACCCCCCGGGGCCGCCCGGCCGGGGGCGGCGGGCGGGGGGCGCTGCGGCCGCTGGGCGTGAATCAGCGGCGGTCTGGGCGTTCGGGAAGCAGCGGCTGAGGTCAGGGCGGGCAGCGGACAAGCGCCCTTTGTCCCTTGCCGCCCTCACCACGACCCCGCTGACCCCCACCCCCAAGCCGAGTACAGGCTGAGGGAAGAGGCGCGGCACAGCGGCGCCGTCGCTGGCTGGGTTGGAGGGGGGGGGGTTGTGGAAGGGGCAGCAGCAGCTGTCCCCCCTAAACGCAGCTGGCGCCTTCTAGGACCCAGACTCCCCCGGGGTTCTCCTGGGTGCAGAAGGGCCGGGAACACAGGTCTCCATCATCCGGTTCCCCCTGGCCGGGATCTAGGATGCTTCAGCTTCCCAAGCACTGCCTCCCGTGGTAGAGGGTCTGGATTTTTGAAGCTCTGGGCGCTTAAGGCCTGGCACCCAGGCTTCTGGGCTCCCAGACTCAGCCTCTGGGGTGTGGAAGGATCACATGTAGGACACTCGCTGACCCTTCTTTCCCCAGATCCCCCTCCAGGCTCAGGAGTCTGCCACCCAACCCCCACTTCTAGGGTGCCCACAGTACACAGGCATCCAGACTCTCACCTGACCCCTTCCTGGAAGTGTGGGCCTGGAACTCAAGATAGCTAATCTCAACCTGGGAGTTCCAGGTTCAGGTTCAGTTTCAGGGTTTGGGCATGGGAGAGGCAGCTCACTCCTTTGGCTGAGTCACGTGGCCCCTGGGGGGTCCTGTTACCACTGCCCCCTCCCTGGCCTAAAACCTCTCCTCAGTGCCCTGAAAGCAGCCAGTGAGCTGGGCTGAAGGACCCCCCCCCCCAATCTTGACCCCTCATGCAGAAGTAACCTTTGGGTGGAGGGGGAAGAACTAAGGAGGAGCCCCCCGTTAGCCCATGGGGTCCCCTGGAGAGAACAGGGCCCTCCGTCTGCCCCTCAGAACATTCCCAGCTACCCTCAAGGACTTGAGTCAATATTTGCTAGAAGTTTCTTGGTGCTGGCAGAGGCAGTGGGACTGGAGAGGAAGGCTTAAGCCACTGGGAGCACCATGGGCAGGAACGAGTGCTACTCGGAGTCAAATCCCTTTCCCTAAAGTCAAAGGTAGAGGGTAAGGATCACCCAAGGAGCACCCAGAAGGCAGAGGGCAGGGCTGAGCGAGCGGCATCTAGAACTCCAAACCCCTTCTTCTGTGGGTGAGGATCAGAGAGGGCTGTCTGCCAGCCTGGGTCACCCAGCCCACCTGGTGCAAGGCCTGGTGGGACCCTGAGAAGCATGCTCTGAGCTTTCCTGCTACTTGGAGACCTGAAAATTCCTCTTTGTCTTTTAAATTTGCAAATATTGATTAAACTCTGGTGTGGCCCACACTGGACCAGCATTCATCGGTCTCTCAAGCTAAAGAAAAAATGTGCAAGAGGAAGAAAAGAGAGCCAGGTGTGTTACAAAGACAATGAAACAAGGTGAAGTGGATGGAGATGGCTGGGAAGCAGACCTTTGACCTATGACCTTATGAAGGAGCTAACTGGAGGAAGATTTGGGGAATGACGTCCTTGACAGGGAACGACCACCAGTGTGCTCGACAGCGGTAACAAGACTGGTGAATTTGGGGGACCAGTAGGGCCAGAGTGGCTGGAGCAGAGCAAGCCAGAGGAGGGGACAGAAGAAGGAGGGGAGGGAGAAGGCGGCCACAGAGAGATGCCCTGGTATTCTTCTTTGACAAGCTCTCTCAGAGGGCTGTGCAGAAGCTGGGAAGCCAGGAGGAGGCTGGGGTGGCATCTAGGAGAGAGACAGTGGGGCCTGGACGCAGCTGGCTAGGGAGAAGGGGTCAGAAGTTTCGAATCGGGGAATCGGGATGTGTTTTGGAATCAGAGCCAGCAGGATCTGCTGATGGATTGGACGTAGGGGATGAGAGAAGGGGAAAGTCATCACCCTGGCCTCCAGGTCCCGGCTTGAAGCACCTGGGTGGATGGGGAGCCCTTTCAGGGACAGGAATAACTGGTGGAAGGGCAGAGTTGTTGGGAGGACACATATCCAGATTTTGCTGGAGTCCTCCAAGCAGAAGGTTAGACTTCACAACCCTCACCAGAGCTTGGGAAAGGTAGAGGTTGGGGAAGAGGAGCAGCATATGCCAGAAGAGCAGTTCCAGCCAATGAGCTGCCACTTCCATCTACCGACCACCTGGCAGGTGGACCTATGGTCCCATTTTCCAGAGGGGACAAACTGAGGCCCAGGGGTCACTTCGCCCCAGGAGAACATCCAGCAGGCTGTGCTAGCTTCCTGCTGCATTACATTCTCCCACTGAAACTCACCAGGCTGGCAGGGAGTCGCCCAAGGTGCATAGGGGGAAAGTGAGGCAGGAGATGCCTGGTTTGACTTGGTAAACAGCAGGCAGTGCGCCCTCCCCAACTTGACTCCCCCCCACACCCTATACAGAGTCCACATGGGGTAGTATGATGAGCCCCCAATCCCCAGCTTCCTGTTCTATTTTTTGAGTCTGGGGTCTGAGCTGAGAACCCAGCTAGATGGGGATTTCTGACCTCCGGACCCGCCCACCCCCCAGGTGCTTTGACCTCCTTGGCAGTATAAGGGCGTGGGGAGGGGGTCTCAGCCTCTAAAGGAACCCCTGGAAGGAGGGGAATCACGGCCTCATCCCTATCGGGGCTAGGAGGGGGCTGCGACCCAAACCCATGACGGAAGGCCCCCGGGAAGTCTCATTCCAGGCGCCCCCTCTGTCCTCCAGGCTCCAAGCCCGGGAACCCTTTATTCATGGGTGCCCTGATTGGGTGGAGGCGGGAAGAAGGGGGATGAGGCGCCCGGGCCGGGAAGGGTCCTGAAATTCGAGCAGTGGCCAAAAATAATAGCGCGGAGAAGGATCCCTTCGTAAAAGCAGGCAAACTATGTGTCGCTCCGGGCGGCCGCGTTACCTGGAGTCTGGCGGGCGGCGGC